GAAATGTTTGCATATTCTGTGTCTACCGCAGTGAAAGGAAAACAGCAAAAACAGTTGTAGAAAAAAAATTAACTTAGAATAAATCCTCCAATACTGGAGAACTTCATGAATTCTCATAAATAAGGCAAAAGAACAAAAGCGTTGTCAACAGAAACACGTTGAAACATTACTCTAAACTAACTGCAAAAAACATGTTTGCTTCCTTTTTTCTGAACCAAATGAAATTTTACACCCAAGCCCAAACTGTGAGTCAACACATCGAAACATTCTGTAAAATGTAACGTTCAAACACAACATACCAACGTGTGTGTGTGCGTGTGTGTATGCATGACGTGAAGCCACGCTTTGTTTTGATGAAGGAAATTTAAGGTTTTTTTGTTTTTTTCCAAGTCAAACACAGGAGAATGTCAAACACCTATATTTAGATGCATGGAATGGGAATATCAATGAGCACATGCCAAATGTATTGACAATGAGCTTCTGAAGGTGCATCGACAACAAAACAGAGAGTGGAGTTTCATGTGAAGGCAAAACGTCTCCTCTCACTGCACAATTACACAATAACACGTATAATGACCTTGTTGAAATGGATAAACTGGTATTGCATTAATAAAGACTGTTGATGGACAAATGCAGATTTCATGCGGCACCATTTGGAGTTATTCATCCACAGTAACACTTCTTTGTACAAGAAACCCACATGTAAAAACAATAGATGCAAAAAAGTGATGTTACACAGAACCTAATGCATTATGGGTGCTGACATCAATTAACCAAGAGACAACCACAGACACATCTATATGCCCAGAGAAATATTTGAAACATAGCTTTTTTTTATGTACACTTTTTACACTTAAGTTTTTAAATATTGCTATTAGAAAATAATGATAAAACATTTATTCAACATGGTGGAAAAGGGAGAAATTAAATCAGGGACACTAGTAGTGCTTCCTTCTTGATAGATACTCTGAGGTGTCCCCAGTAATCCTCGTCAAAACCTCTGTCCAAGATCACAGTCGAAAGGAACTGGCCAAGTTTTCAAGCAGCATTGAATGTAACTCCTACAATCGTCAGTCCAGGTCCCTCTGCATTTCTCCTGAAACTTAAAGCTCCTTTTCACCACTGTATGGCACTCACATCCGGCTCTGTGTATCAAACATCTTAAGGCCCTTTCAAACATAAATCCTGTAGCATTGACAGAATAATTAGCCCAAACCTTTCCAGTGAAAGTAGCAGCTTACGTTACTCATCATATCAGTTCATTTTTACAAAATCTGGCCGATGACTCGCACCACCACTAATACCACTACAGTCCTGTGATAGGTGACATTTTCAATGTATCTCAGCATTGCACTTTCCCACAGTGTAGCGCTTTCGTTCTTCAGCAGGTCAAACTGCTGCAACTGATTTACTGCCACGATCAGCCCTGTTCATGGTTAAATGCCACAGTAGCAGCGTTTAATGTCAAATAGTATGACATATATGTACTACAATCCTGAGCATGGGAAAAAATGGTTTCCAGCACATGAATTATATTTTGTAGAGAAATTGTCACACAAAATTTAGCATTTGAGCAAAAAAGGTGAATGTGCTCCATAAATTAATTTGTTTGTTTGCTTTTAGTCACATGAGGGCACAATATCAACCTCTCTGTGCTCCAGTTTCAGCCACGCACAAAATTCAGATGAATATAAATCCAATATCCACCCTGTATTTTATCTCCAACTCCTGACAGAAATATCTTGAAATCTAATTTTAGCAGATAAATGCTCCACTATGTTCACCAGTGTGTTGCTAACTTTGTTTTTCTGTGGTTTAGTAATTGGCAGGTAGCGTACCGGTGGTAAATCACTGCTTTTTGCTGTGGAGTGAATTATGCTAGCAGGTTGTAAACCAAACCAAACCAAACCATACAAACAGCCCCAGTGATCATTAATATTAAAAGTAAATTTAAAGTTGAATTTAAAAGCTTGAAATTGAATATGAGAAAAGTTCTAAAACTGACTCAAACAGGTTATTATTGATTTAGAAGCAATAGCTTTATGTAGCACAGAAGTTTAGATGCTTAATTCAAATTGCTCTTTTCTGGATGACAATTTATTTACAAATATAATTTATGTACTTGCAAACAATGTTTTTCAGTGCTCAAAATGTACACATATAATTCCCTTTCAAAAGATAACATGTGCTGCAGGTCATTCTGAAACTGTAACGCAACCAATCACCTTTAATTGCAAGACTGATAGATGGGCTGTGACATTTCAAAGGCTCATCTCAACAGAAACAAAATCTCTGTTCGGACGACTAAAGATTTTTCACATATGGTGGAAAAAAATTCAGATTTGGGGTGGCAGTGTAAATCAGGTATTACTATGTAACATATAACTCAGGAATATAACTGCAAAGTAATCTTATGCGAGATTTTTTTACATTTCCATTCTTTTCCACCTTGTTTAAGATTGTTTTTATATTATATAATCTATTCACATTATTACAGTGCATTTGCAAAGAAAACCAGTTAGACAAAAGGAACTGAAATGAATAAGGCTGGATCACTGCATGAATCCACAGTTATGTCAACAATAACAAAGAATCATGGTTTCTCTATACTTTACTCTGTGAAACCCTGCAAGATTCTCACGTACACAGAACTAAGGATTTGTGTTTACTTGCATAAACTCAGTTGGTCTACTGAATATGACGTCATAAAGTCAAATATCATGTACCTGTGTTGTGGTCTCTTTAATCTCAACCATTCATTCCAGTGGCTGCTAAAGATAAAGTTTAAAACACATTAAACATGAGATGGGTCCATTGTCGTCACAGTCAAAAGCCATTGATTCTCTTGGATCCCTTCACAAACAGGTCCACTAATTATCCGCCAAATATTTCCCTGTGGAGCAAAAGGAAATAGGTCAGGAATCAAAGTCATTAACTTAAAAGTTAAGGTCACACACATTTCTGATACTCAGACTGACCTGCAGCAAATCTCTTCTTGACCAGTGATAGCCGGTAGCCAGTCCCAACCAGCTGGATGTCGCACCCTGACAGAGTGCTGCCCTCACTGGTAAACTGCACCGCCAGCTGGGACGGTTTACAGGGACCCTCTCTCATCTGGAACCGGCCCAGGAGAGCCCCTACTCCTGCAGGACAAAGAGCTGTGAGATGAGAATGCTACTTGGTGATTATCTACCTTTTCGAATTGCAACTCACCAGTAAAATCACGCTGGTGCACATGACCGACCCATATATATATATGTGTGTGTGTGTGTGTGTGTGTATGTATATATATATAAAATAAACTTCCGACAAAAAAAAGCAGTGTTCAGTGACATATGAAATATGATGAGAGCAATGGTTAAAAAAGACTTTACAAGAATGTATGAAACACAAACACCCACCTCCATTGTCAGATCTATGAGAGAGACTGGGAATCTTCCACTGTATCGTCTGCTGCTCTGGATTCCTATAGGAGTAAATAGGTGTTGTGTTACAGAGGACAAATAGATCGGATGTTCGTTTACACAAAAAGGAAATTCAATTCCATGCTAATAGAGAAAAAACAAGAGATAGTGTTAAAACGTACAAGGTTTTATGTCCACAATGGATTTTTTTGATTCTCTTTTAAATGCACATTAAAGGTAAACAAACAACGTGCAGCGACATGTTTATACAATTTGCCTTAATGTAGGGGTAGGAAATAGTGCAAGGCTGGTCTTAACCTCCCTACTCGTAATAAAGATGCAATATACACAATATAAGAACAGAAATTACACTGCAGGAAATGAAGGCAGCTTAAACAGTGTATTCTAAGTCCTCCCTGTTAAATAAAAACACAAATATAAGTGATCCTCACCAGATGGCAGGTGGGATCATGGCCTGGAGTTTGGCTGGGCCTCCATCCACAGGTACCAGAAAGTGAATGTTGTGTAGTGGCACAGGAGCAGCCAAGGCCTCAGTGTTGTATTTGTAATCTATTCTAAGGTCTGTGTTGGTGGCGTCACCTCGCCAGCTCAATGCCAAATTCAGAGGAGTGGACTGGATCCCTTCTGCTGACACCTGGGATACAGAAACACAGGACAGCCAGATAGATGGATGGATGTCAAGGCAAGGCGATTTACACAGGTAGATTCAAGGTGCTGGATGGATAAATACCAAAGATCCAGTAGATAGATAGATACCTGATATTTGATCATATCCACGTTGTAGTAAGTTGCCTGAGGCTTCTGTTCGGCCACTTTTTTCAGATGGCTCATCAAGTTTGGCATATTTACCCAGAACTCCTTGGTGTCGACACTCTCTGTCGTGGTATCACTAAAGGATGAGATGTTAGATTCAGACAATCACTAGTTAGATACTGGCTGTATATTATGCATTATTTATCATAAAATGAAGGCCAGTAATTCTTTTTTTCCAGTTCTATAATGACTATCTGACGAAAGTAGTTTTCTGTGTGTATGAATGCAGCTTCGATACATGTTCTTACCAGCAGAGCAGCTGTGGATTGGGGAGGACCTGCTCCAGTCTGTTGTAGCTGCTGATGCTAAAGGTGAGGATGGGCTGAGTCGGGTGGCTTGAAAAATGCCGGGTGATGCCCGCTGGGAAAGAGAGCACCATCTCCCCTGTGATCTTCACAACACATCTGGACCAGTGGGAGAGATAAGGCTGCACTTAGACATTGCGCTGAACAATAACACACAAGGGATCAAATGTGTAGAACAAACTGTATAGGGTAGCCATCAGAACTGTATCCACTGGTCTGTAAAAGTTTTGGCTCATGCATCGGTAATGTCACACTGTACGATTAGGAAATCCAGGCTTACTTGCTGGGATCAGCGCCTTTAAAGTAGGCATTGATGGTTTCTGTGAAGGCAGCAGCCACTGGCAGAGTGTCTTGGGGTCCCATGGTGAGTGGACTGGGTCCTCTGGAGCATCCTGAAGAAAACACACAAAAGATTCTTTTAAAAATAAATCAAAACATAAACCACATATTTTACTTTGGGTTGTTTCATATTTGCACAAACATTTAGCCATGGGTTACACGCAGACAGGGGAGTATAAACAAACAAGCAAACAGTTATAAGCAGAACTAAACCCTCCATATTGAATCTGGATTATATGTGAGTGAGCAACACACAGGGGGTGGGTAGCAATATTTGGGCTCAGTGAACATTAGCAAGACGGCAGGTAGAAATACGACAGGTGATTTCAGTACATGCACTGATGGGACTACAGGAGCATGGTGGCTCAACTCACCTTCAAAAGCTAAATAAAACCTGCCATGGTCAAACCATACCAGAGGCTGTGAGGCCTCTGAGAGAGAAGAGACATGAGGAGGAGAGAATCATGGAGAGGGACAAGGCCGTGAGGCAAGGACACAATGATGAGCGACTGACAACATGGACTCAAACAACGGAGATGTAACACTGGGGGAAAATATACCTGTGGTGGATATGTTAAGGTCCCTCCCTAAGGTTGGAGTGGACGCTGCACTCTGTGAGGTAATGGAGGAGATGGAGGAGGAGCTCTCTGACCGGGCCAGGGGTGCGAAAGGAGGGGGGCTGCCCAAAACTGGCGGACTGAAGGGTCGAGTCTGGAGACGGAAAGACATACTGAGAACCTGCTGTCTATATGAGTGCGAATGAAGAAAAGGAAGACTCATAGGGAACTTATTTACCTGTTTCATTTAAACATCACATTGAGATGTTGTATCAAAGGACACAACGGCAAAAGGAGACAGAGACAGAGAAATGAAAGGACACTTCATATGTACCAGGTCTGTGATTGGTTTCCCAGGGGGCAGCTTTGGTCGCGAGGACGGTCGAGGAGGAGGAGGTGGAGGAACTGGGCTGCCTCGGGACTGAGGTGTGGCCGGACGAGCTGGAGACGAGGGGCCTGTGGCACACACCAGTGTCTGTGGTTAGCACTGGCTTCAGATCACAATGAGAGGGTTTTATTTAACATGAGCTCCAACGCTCAGCTCATGTGATTGTCACTTTGTTTGTCTGGTTTACTGTCTCAGGTATTTGCGTTCACACAAACTCCTCCTTCTGAGAAAATGTTGAGAAATTCCGGTGTTCGGTGCGTGTCTGAAAGCTGCTTGAGATTCCTTTTGAACTTTCCTGAGAACCTTTTTTAGCACATTATACTGGCATGTTGATTTGTTTTATTACAAGAGACAGTTCAAATCGAGTAATGAGTTCATATTTCTATTTAGACAGAAGTGTCATTTAACTGACATAACAGTTAGTGCACCCCACCTTTGGAGAAAATGTTTTTACAGTTTGTGCTTATGTCCATACGTTTGGTAGGTAGTAAACCAGTGTCAGATGGATTATAGCTAAAGTTAGCGTAAAAGTAATTCCTATTATATATTATATTTAAATATATTTATGGCATTTGTCAGTAGTGTAATCAGTGTTTTCGTTTTATTTTTAATACTATCAACTGTAATAATAATAATAATAACAATATAAACTGTACTAAACAGATCACAAAGAGGAAATACATCTCGAGCAGCTCTATGTGATTGATTGGTTTCAGCTGGCGGAACACTTTAGTTTGGCTTTTGTTCACAAAGTTTATATTCAGTATAATCAGATAACTGATAGTTCTGACCTTTAGAAAGTGACGTGAGTACTCACCGCTGCCTGAGTACGGCCCGGGGGAAGACATGATAGACCTGTAGGTGGTTGGAGGGAGAGGAGGCGGTGTGCCCCTGAAGCTCGGCATCAACTCTCTGGGTGAGCCCACAAAGTCTGGGATATCATCTCTCAGGTATGCACCCTCTGGGGTTCTTTTTCCTCCTGCAAACCCCAGGACCAGGGGAGAGGTGACCCCTGCCCGAGGAGACCTCCGCTCGGCTGGGAGAGGGGGCACAGGGCTGATGGGAGCAGGGGAGGATGAGTACGCTGCAAACAGCAGCACCTCTTCGTCGAGCGCCTCCTCATCAAGGCAGACCGGGGGCGATTTAGAGGGAGAGAAGTCAGGTGGCAGGGGAGGGGCTGGCTCATCTGGAGGAGGAGGTCCGAGCACAATAGAGGGTGGCGAGTCCGGTGGCGTGAAATGAGGAGGAGACCCGGGAAAAAAAGGTGGAGGTGAAGGCGGGGGCTCGTCTGGTGGCGGTCCGGGTGAGAGGCAGGGCGTGGAGGGGGTGGACGAGGGCGTGTCTGGGGCAGGAGAGTCCGGTGGTGGAGGGGGAGCTGGTTCATCGGGTGGCGGGGGTCTGTCATCTGTAAAGGTTACCCATCTGGGTGACACTGCGTCCTCGCTGGTTTGAGGGCTGTCGACGGGGCCAAACACGTCGTCGATGTCAGGGCCCGGGGAGCCTCGGTAAGAGGCGGGGGACAGGACGTTCAGGTAGATGGGGGCAGAACTGCGAGCTACTCTCCCATTGGGTAGATCGGCTGCAGTTAGAGTGAAGGAGCATTAGATCTTAACTCATAGGATTTGACTGTAGGGCTGATAAACAAGTAAAGCAGAACTCACCGGCCGAGTCTGACGGATAACCATAATGACTTCTTGATGGAATGTTTTTTGGAGGAAGCGGAGGAGGAGCTGCAACAAGGATGACAGGTCAGTTATAGATCATAGATGACATCATTTTTTAAATTATGTATGGATATAGCTCCTCGTACAATTTAACTGACCTCCTGTTGGGAAACTTATGCTCAGAGGAGAGTCTGACCGTGGTCTTGATTCTCCCCACATATCAGTAGGAACCACTGTGATGACAAAAAAAACAATCAGCATCCCCTCAGTAGCTGTATTTGTTGAAATATTGAGTTATTTACTCTTGATAAGGGACAGACCATCATATCTGGCATATTTGGTCTCTGAAGGCTGCCCGAAGAAGGCAGGAACGTTCTGTGATAGCCTGTCACTGCAGAAGGAGAAGAACAAGAAGATTATAACTAAGTGACTTGTTTATCTCAATGGAATAGCCTTTATTCTGAAAAAAGAAATTAAAGTAAAAAAACAATGTTTCTGTACAAACACCATAAGATAACAGATTATATTGTTTTGATAGTTTGACAACCTCATCATGACTGTCAGTTTTTTCTTAATAAGATTATTACTATCAAGAGGACTTCCTGTTTGATTTCGGTTTGGTCAGTGGAACACTCATCACACACCTTGGCATCTCAGGCGCAGGACTTGGAGTCGGGGTGGAGCGTCTCGGTCTGGCAATCTCCTCACCTAAGAGAAAGAAAAAGAAAAACTCAGCTGTTGTTCTGTTATTTCTTTATTTGACCAAATATGCATTATAAAGCTAAAATTGGGGGGGCAGTTTTCAAACTGCTGTACTTACAGGACAAATTTCTTTTTATCTGTCCCTGTAAGAGAGACAATCCAAAACAAAGGACAACGTAAGGATACAGATAATGAAGAGTAAAAATATGTGCATTGTGTGACCTTTAATACTTTAATACAAATACTACAGAAACATGTCCATTTTGAGTTATTTTATTCTTCTACTCTGTGATGTATATACTTTTTAAGGGAGATACAGAGATCACAGATATTTTAACTTCTATTTGCATAGGAAATACATAAAATCAACACTACAACTAAGATTTTCTGTGTACGCTTGTTCAATTCTGCACTGCACAATACAGAACAGTTCAAGCAGCAGAGATCAGAAAGCTGCATTTCGGGCTGCTTGCCTCCAAACAGCCAGCAGATGGAGCGATGAACTCACCGGGCTGCGTCTCTGAGACCAGCAAAAAGGAAGAGAGAACAGACCTGGGTCAGAGAGTGAGTGACAAATCAGTCAAGTGGACACCAACTTAAACTGCACATAACGCACGTCTTTACTTTCACCGCAAAGCCTTAATAACACCCTGGAGATTATGAGGACAACTGCAACGTTGTCTTATGAGACCAACACGCCTATAGCAGCACACTGGCAGTAACAGGTCGCTCGGCATGTGAGCTCCACTTAGAGCAAATCAATAGGTTTGGAGCTAATGTGTGTGTTATGATAACTGTGCATTATGTAATACACACGCTTTGCCAGACAGGTTCAAGTAAAGCTTTTGCTGGAAAAGAAAAAATGAATCAACAAAAAGATGTGATTTTTAATTTCAGGGCCTAAAAATGGCACAAACACTGAGAGCAGGGTGAGAGCATGCGGGAAAAGAGTGGACGCCATTTGTAAGTGAATTATCACGAGGGGGGGGGGGGCACAGTTTATCAAGCATTTCTGTTAAGTGAGCTCATGCCATGCACTCTCTCTCAGGAGTGATACAATGATGAAAATGTGTGACAGGCTTACCGGACTTCTCTTCTACAAGACGACGGCAAAACCATTAGAAAAAAGACAAAAGACAAACACAGAGAGAAAGTTAAATATACACAAGACATTCTTTACACATAGATGGTTGACATGACTGCTCCCGTAAAGACAAGCCAAAGTGTTATGATCGCCCCCTGGTAGCTTGTCTGTTAGGTCATAAATCACACCTCCTCCTTGTTAATGTAAAGGACATGGACCAAACTAAAAAGTCAAAGCACATGTAAAATACTATTTTGTCATTTGAGGTAGTTCTTATCACGCTGATGTTCCAGGGTTTATTTTTCTCATAAGTTTGGTTTGAATTAGTTATATGATGTCATGATTGACAGCTGAGACTGACGCAGTTGGTCGAGCATGAGTATTGGTGGGACCCTGCTACCAGCACTATGGGATGTTTTGCTTTTATTTCTGGATAGTGGGAGGAAGTTGAAGTGGAGAAACGTTGTTCATCATCATCATATACAGTGTATGGTTAAAAGATACAAAACTGTGTACGTGTGCCTTTAGTACATAATAGTAGAACAGAATAGAAGAGTTCTGATCAGCAGCGCTCACCAGAGACGGAGAGAGGGCCAGGCCGCCCACTGAGGCTTTTAGCTCGTCCATAGATGGAGGGACACACTTGGCACTGTCCGACACCAGCGGCTTGATCTTGATTTTGAACTTTTTCCTGCTTTCGTCGTCGTCTTCAGAGTCGCTGGAGGAGAAAAAGTGCTTTCCTTTGGAAGCGAGTGAACGCTCGTCAAGGACAAAACAGAATAGTACACAATGGTATACGAGAGATGGAGACTAATTCAATCTTATCAATAAATCCTTTTAAATTTAGAAATTTGTCTCAGTCATGTGCAGAGTAACGCCGCAGCTCAGGAGTGAGACATCTGCTCCATGTCTCCATCTGCTGCTAAACGACACCCTCGGTTAAATCATCCTGCTCAGGGGTAGTGTCACAGCGCAGCTCTCTGTGGATTTAATACAAATACACAGCTGCTGACACCTGCAGGAGCAAAAACTTAAAATACCAGTGAACTGTGGGACAGTTGTTAATGAGAACTGTGGCTCAGTGATAACTGAAGAGTCAATCCAAATATAATATAACTATAACAATTTCTTTGCCACTGCAGGGACACCTGTGTAATATGGCAAGAGAGGGAGGAACCATTAATTTGGCCTATTTGATTCTGAGCACTCCACAAACGAGTCATTCAGCCAAACAGGTGGATAGTTTTGCAGAAGTGTCCCGACTCTGCTCCTGCCGCTGCTTCTACCCGTCGCTAAAAGGATATCATCGCCCTCGTCACCGGGCCGGAGGCTGAATCCCTCATCGTCCACATCCGGAGAGGCCTGCGGCAGAGAGGAGGAGAAAAGAGACAAACATTTAACAGAGGAAATGCCAAACTCTTTTCCTTTGACCACCTCTGTATATAGATGTGGATCATATTTCACAGATGTCTTTCCTGAGACACTTGACTTCCTGGCTGAAGCTCCTGCTGACTGACAGAATATGCATCTATCGCTCTATTCGCACCGTTTACTCAGTAATTTTAAACCCAGTGTTACATGACACTGGTCGCAACAGCACAACATATATTTAATGCATAAAACTGCAGAGTCTCTGCATGACATCAGAAAGAAGGGGAGCATACACAACAATGAGTAGGAGGATAATACTCACATATCTGTCCCAGTCAATCTCCCCATAGAAACCATTGGGAGCCCCATTGGCCTTTTTCTATTAACAAAATAGGAACAACACATTTTAACACATCATTTTACATCTAAGTAAATGAGTGAGATAAGGGGTATATGTATAAAAATTTACAATCTTTACAAAACAGAGTCTGATTTGGTAAATCATGAGCTCTGGCAATTTGTCCAGGTATCAAACAATATCACTGGTTAACAAACTTATTTATATATTTTCCTACAATTTACAGCCAGACTTTTTCGATTTTGGCGATTCTTGTTGTACATTTGTGCAGTTTTCCTGTGCAATGAGGATTTTGAATTGTGATTACCTTCACCAAGGGGGTTATGTTTTCATTCCTGCTAGTTTGTCTGTCAGTCAACAGGATTACTAAAAAACTACTAAACTGAGGGGTGGGGTGTGGCCCAAGGAAAAAGACAAAGGAGAGGAGAAAGAGAGGAAATACTTTTTCTTCAAAATAAGTACATTTACCTTCTTTCCACTTCCAGCCCCTTCTTTGTCAGGTGAGCTCCTGCTTGAGGTGACAAGAAGAGGGGAGAAATGTTTTCGTTATACATCATGAATTTCTCCTTCAGTCTCAGAACTACAGCCTGTCATTGAACAATATGATGCTTGAGTTTGTGCTGTTATCTTATGTTTATTGTGCAATAAATGTGTTTTCGGAGCAAACTCACGTTGTGTCTGTGTCTTTGTCTTTCTTTCGGAGACCCAGGGCTTTCCTGGTTCGGTTTTTTAGTCCTATCACAGTGAGGGAGAGAGGGAGAGGAACAACAATATCATCAAGAGTTATTTTGACATTTTAAAGTCTGAATATAAGTTCACTGCCTTTTAAACGCATCTAAAAGCAAAAAGGAGACAGGTAACAGGGTGATCATGCACTGTAACAGCAGCATTGAGCAGGAAATAGAGCAATCAGGTTGTTCATATAAATTGATGCATCCGTTTGGGACTCAAACATCCTGCCAGCTGAAGAGAGCGTCCACGTAAAATGAAGCAATGCAGACCGAGCAATTCCCTTAAGTGTCCCCTCCCTGACTACATAAAGTGGAGAAGAAACACGAGCAAAGGTTGATCAATCAGACCACTTCATTAGCGAGATTTGAGGGAGGGTGGGGAGAGATCTGCTACAGCGGCCCGTCAGCCAAACTGGATGCCAACACCCCTGCAGAACTGACATCCAGACAACTGGGGGAAATGGAACACAACTCAGGGTGTGCAGAACTATAATGTTCAATTAATAGAAAACAAAACACACTTCCGACACAATTAATCGATTAATACTGGACCTAGAGACAATCAACCAATCAAATGAATCACACCATAAACTCTGGAAGTGATTTCAAGTGATTTCAACACACGACAGCCAGCTAAGCTACCTGCTCCGTGTGGCTTCAGCTCACATTAGCATGATGATAAATTCACAATAACATAATCAGAAATGAAAATGAATGAAATGAGGACCATCCATCCATCATCTATACTGCTTATCCTTTGAGGGTTGCAGGGGAGCTGGGGTCAATCCCTGCTGACCGTGGGTTGAGAGGCGGAGTACAGCCTAGAAAGGTCAGCACCGTTAAGGCCGGGCCAGCATACAGGGACAAACAATTCTTCATGATCCCATTCACATCAATTATCAATTAACCTATTACCCCAGTCTGCATGGCTTTGGATAAACTCCAAACAGAAAGACCCGGGCCGAACCAACAATTTGAGCCACATTTATTCCTATTTTTCTTTTGCATGAATTGGCTGTGCTGCAGGTTTTGCCCCAAATAGATAACTGACAGGTTTACATAACAGTGTTTTAGACGAGCAGTGAGCACAGTTGATTCTCACATCCATACGAGAGCAACAGGGACACATGTGACGGGCAGTTGGGTGGATGAACATTGTGTACTCTACAGCAGCAGCTCAGTTCATCATCAGTTTGATGTGTTTTAAACTGGAACTTACTGTTTGTCCAAAACAGCCATTGTTTGGCTTGATATCTTATTTATGGTTTTTGACTACATAGAGTCCAGTCCTAAATGTTTTCAAAGTAAAACATTGATCTGGTGAATCCACACACTTGCCTTGAAATCCTTATAACTATAAAACTGTGAAGTCACTGCAATGTGGCTCATTCACTTGAGAGGAATCTCTCCCTAGTACTGAAGGATGTGTCAGAGCCTGTGATGTATTAGTAGATCGCTGAGCTGCTCAATAGCACAGATTATTCCTGCATCAGTGGAGACAGCTCTGTACAGTGAGTCTGCCCTGCATGGTTTGTGTGTGTGATGAGGAATAAAAATAGTAGAATAAGTAATAATCCTGCTTATCTATGTATATATAATATACACACAGAAGCAACACAAGCAGCACGGTCAGATTTTTTTTCTGACGGCACTGAACTGCAAAATAGTTCACGTGTTTCAGAGGAAAACTTTTGTTTTTGTAACCCAGATGGATTATAGTCACGACGTCATTAGTATTACTGAGTTAGTGTAATTCATAAAAACAAGACTTGGAGAGACATTTCTTTGAAACCATTTATGGGGACCATAGTGGTTATCTATTGATAACATGATGATAACATCACTTCAAATAGCATATGCTTGACATCAATGCAGACCATATTTCAGTATAAA